CCTTTACACCTTAGCTTAAGGAGGCTTCATCTTGCTCCTTGAAGCCTTTCTCAACAATATCCCACACATCTTGAGCTCCTAGTAGCGCCTTCATCTTGTTACTCCAATTGTCATAGTTGTTCTTTGCGAGTATCATGATTTGAAAAGGGAAACCTCCATTCGCCATCTTTTGAGGACCTTCAAGCTCTGATGCCACTTTGTTGGAAATAAGACTTTTTGTGTTTAGAAAAAGTGTGTGGGAATATTAAAGGCTTAAAGAGAAACTTGATAGGTAGAAGAATTATTTATGGAAGAGATAACTTTGTATTTTTCTTGATACAAAAGTGTAGAATTACATCTCTATTTATAATACTCTAAGAAAAACTCTAAATACACTAATTCTAGACAGTTCTCAACTTTAAGAATTCCAAGAACATTCTAGAAAATATTACAACCCTAAGAAATATCTAGACACTCCAAACATTACAAGAGTTTTCTAGAAACATTAATTAAAATTACCTAAGTCCAAAACAACTAAGCCCAAAAATCCAAATAATATGTTTAGGCCCAAATCAAGTTTAATCTTTCAACAGTGTTGACATTGACGACAAATGTTGTTGTTGCTACGAAACAGTATCGAGGTTTTATGAAACCGTGCGACAAATATTGTTGCTGCTAATGTTGTTGAATGCGTTGGTTGTTGAAGGGAAATTCATGGGCGGTGGATGTTGGTGGCGTGTTAGTGAGATGTTTCAGAAACGGTAATGGTGAAGATTGAAGGTTGTTGTAAACGGAAGGAGCAGCGTGATGGGTTTAGAATTACGGTTGAGTCGCTGGTGGATGGAGTGGTTTTGTGGTAGAAATGGCGCGACGGAGGGAGAGCTGAAGGAGTGTGGTTGAACAATGAGGGTGAAAAGGAGAAAGTTGAGGGACTTTTATTCTTAGGGTCATATGAGTGGTGAAGATGAAACTTTTCTTATGTAATTTTTATGTTTAAACGAGTGGATCTGTCCCCCCAATCCTCCCTTCAATTTTGTTTTTTTTTTCTTTTCAATTATTCAGTTGGAGAGAGAGAGATAACGTGAGGAATCAGTGGAGAGTGAGTGAGTGGCTTCCCCCTATCACGCGTTCCCCTCCTTCCTTCTTATCCCTTCTTCTTCCTTTTTTTTTTAAAATTTTTTTAAATTAAATTAAATTAAATTATTATTATAATATTGTTATTATTAAATTTACAAATACAAGGCGTCACTTGTCAAGTCTCCATTGAGCAGGGAGACAAAATTTTGAAAATCTACCACTTGGGGATGACCATGTGACTTAATGACACGAAAAAAAGTTTTATGCATTTTTTCTAATTTTATTATCAATTGAAACAAAATACAATAAAATGCTAAAATGTGATTGGTTAATGGCAAAAAATGAAGATCATACATCTGCACCCTTGATTAAATTTAAATCTAATGATTCACATTTAATCAAAGAAACACACCTAATTAAAAATGTCAAAATTGCCCTTTCTAGAAGTTTTAATTAATTTAATAAAATTAAATCAATTAAAATCCACTAAAAATTCACAATTTATTAAATAGATATGCTAAAAATGAAATGCAAGTATGAAAAATTCTACTTAATGAAAAATTCTACTTAATTATTCTGGACATTTTGATGAAAATATAAAAATAAATCGGGCGAAAATGAACAGAAATCAGGCGACAAAGTGCTTGAAAAATTAAATCGATTGTACACAAAAGCTTAACGCGAAATAGATAGCTTGGAACAATGCAACACTCAGTCAACTTTTGAGAATTAACAGTAGGGATGGCAACGGGGCGGGTCGGGGGCGGGTTTAACTATACCCGCACCCGCACCCGCCTCCATGTAACAGACCCGCCCCCGCCCCCAAATTCAATCGGGGGTGAAAATTTATCACCCAGACCCGCCCCCAGTAGAAAATGGGTGCACCCGCACCCGCCCCGCCCCCACCCGCAAAAAATTATTATTTTTTTAATTATAATAAAAATTAGTAATTTAATTAAAAAATTGATTATTTTAATAAATAAATTAATTATTTAATTAAAATTTTAATTAATAAATGAATATTAACTTGATTAATTTTATTATTTTAATTGCAATAAGAATATTAATAACTTAATTAAAAGTATAATTAATAACTTAATTAAAAGTATAATTAATAAATAAATATTAAAATAAATAAAATAAGGAACTCAAAATAAAATATATTATTTGGGGCGGGGGCGGGGGCGAGTGCGGGCGGGTCTTAGTGTCTACCCGCACCCGTAGTTAAGAACCGGGTTTCACCCGCACCCAATTAAATCGGATTTCCCCCGTTAATTTTGGGGCGGGCCCGGGCGGGTGTGGGCGGGCCCGAGTTTGTTTGTCATCCCTAATTAACAGGGACCGAGAAAAAGGCTCATACTGATAAAAAATGATTGAAGATTTATCGAGAGATAAGACGAGCGTGTTAGGTCAAGCTTTAATGGAAAGTAGGTCAAAATCATTAACGTCTGCGAGCTTAAATTCAAAAAATTTCAATCACTGGTTTTTCTTGTATATTTGAGACACAATTCGACCAGTCAGTCCACATATCCAAGAGATTTATTCTGGCTAATCATTTTAGGAATTATTCATGCTAGAAAATACATTATGTTGTACAAGCGATGGAAAATTGAAAATAAAGTCAAACCAATAAAAATTTGAAACAAGTAGGACAAATTTGGGGTATGACACTATTGTAAACAAATTCATATCAACTTCTATTTCTTATAAAAAATTTAAATTTCCAATAAATTATTTTATCTTATAATCACTTATTTTCCTCGTCGTAAGTAAATGGATTTTAAATGAAAAAATGAATGTTTTTACCCAATATGCCATACTTTTGAAACAAATTGTCCAATATACCTTACTTAAAACAAAAATCTTCAACTTTCCCTATTTGTTCAAATCCTCAACCGCCTATTGGCCGAGGGTACTCTTGGAATAAATTTGTAGAAAACCCTCGGCCACTTATTGGACTAGGTTTGTTTTTAAAATTTTTTTTCTTATTTTTTTCATATCTTATTGAATAGAGTTATTTTTAAAATTAATAATAAATAATATTATTTTAATACTATTAATTAGGATCTCTTTTTGGTAAATGAGGACATGAATAAACAACAATGTTGGCTTTTGGTCAAGTTTTCGCGAATAACTACAATAAAAGAATGACTCTAGAAGTGCGGAAATCAAACACTCGTAGTGTCATTCATTTTGATTGCGAGAGATTCGATTTCATGGTTGCTGAAAAAATTAACTAGAACAATGGTCGACCAATAAGCACTTCAACATTGACCTTGGGAAATAATGGTGCGAACGTGGGAAATTTTAGGCCTTTTATTTATCTTGCTACATGTGATCGCAACATGTTATAGTATACGCCATGACTACTCCATGCATATACTAGATGTGTTCAAAGTTCTTAACGTATTTAAAATCTACAAGGAAATCTTCCTTAAACTTCTCAAGAAGATCATTGGCCACAATATGAAGGAGTTACTATTTTCCATAATGAGTCTACGCGAAGGAAAAAGAAAAGGAAGGTCAAATAGTACCCATATTAGAACAGAAATGGACGATGTTGAGGAAAAAAAAGTGTGGCATTTGTTATGAAATTGGCCATGCGCGTAAAAAAAGTCCAAATGTTGCAGGTCTGTCTAGATGGTTATATTTGTTTTTTAGTATGACTTTTGGTCAAGTTTTTAGTTGTCTTATGTAATATCTTTGAGCAAATGAGACATAATATGTTTAATTTTAAAATCTTTCGATTACAAAGTAAATTTACATCAACTAAATTCAAACATACTTCTTTATCAACTAATTACAAGCAAGAATCAAGGTGAATGAATCTTCAACTCCTCTATTCAATTCTTCTTTATGGGGTTCAAACATGCAATAAACATCTAAATCATCTTGAACACGGCGCAAATGATATAGGTACATGTCATCTAGGCTATCATCGGTCAGGGTTATGTATGGATAACAAAATTGTATTTTTCTCACCTTTCTACGTTGACCACCCAGCTGCCGAAAACTCGCGTTGATGGTTGTAATCAATGTTCTGAAATTTCAATGCAGATATAGGCAAGCACTCATTTTCTTATGGTGCTCACAAAACACAATAGGCAATACGAAAATGGGTACAAATGAATATATGCCAAGTGAAATGAATGATCCCTATATCAAAAATTCCCACACAAACCATAAGACTTTCATTGGACATGAATCTATTGTCGAAGGCAAGTCTCGACCAATAAATATTACAGGTGTTTAAATATATTAAATTAAATAATTATTATAATGAATTTAAATAATTTTATTTTATACCCATAATCTAATGAATGGGTGGGAGTTTTCAACGAATTTTTTCAATAGTACCCTCGACCAATGGGTGGTTAAGGCTTTGAAAAAAAATAAAAAATGTTAATATTAATAAAAAAACGTCTCTAAATGGAAAGTGGGTGTAATGGATTATGAAAGCGATGTAAACTGATAATCTAATCATGAAATCAATGTGAACCGGTTCTTTGATCGATATGAAATATATTTTTTTTCTTCTTTTACACTTTAATTCTTAGAAAAAAGAGAGTATAGTAGTTTAGAGCTAGGTTATGATATTTAATAAACATTTTTCCTATCAAAAATAGAATCCGATATTTTCCAAATTTATATTCCTTAGCGGGAAGGTGCAAGGTGCTTACCATCTTGTTTTATAATTTAAAAAAATGAACCGAAAATTATTATTTTTTAAATAAAAAATACATATAAAAAATACGTGCCCTTTTGCATCATCTAACTTAACGCTTTCCCTCTCTCGCGCCGTCGCCGTCGGTCTCCTTCACTACCTCTCCCTCTGCCGCAGTACAACTATATTCCCACGCTCGCGCCGCTCCCACGGCTCCATTTTTCTCATTTCACAGAATCTCAGTCACAGGTAGCAATTCTCTGTGCTTCTGCGCTTAGCTATGTCGGACTCAACAATGCAAACCCTAGACGCAGAACCATCGTCTCCTTCAACAACCATCGATTCCAAACCTCAAATCTCATCTCCGCTTCCGTCGTCAATGCTCAGACTCTGGAGACAAGCTGCCCAGCGCAATCTTAGAAACCAGTGGTCACAATTGGCATTGCTTAAGGATCAATGGTTCTCTATTTCTTCCACCGCAAGATCTTACGCTTCAGCTCTCGTCAATGCTCATCTTTCTCAAAGGTATATTAATCCCTCTTATTCTTTATTTTAATGCCGATTCATATTTCAAGCTAAAAAGAAAAGAATAAAGTTCACATTCCTATTCTAGACTATCAATTTCCATTTTGCATTCCATTTAGGCTTAATCCGTGCTCGAGCGTGTTCCTTTTTCTGTTTTATTGTGTTTGGTGCGTAAGTTGCTTGTGGTTAAGCTTTGTGATTGATGTAGGTACATGCCTGATATGAAGTTGGGTGTTTTGAGCAATCTGTCTGATATAAGAAAGAGAGCTTGTTTTAAACTATTCCAGCAGCAGGTATGCTTGATTTATGTATTGCTTCTCCTTCTACTTGTAGTTTTTCAAATCACGATGACCATGTTTATTTGAATTTGGGATTGATTTAAGTGAAATCTTTGCATTTAGCTTTTAAGCTATTATGAACATCTCTCAATGACCTCTAGATGCATTTCATAGTACCCTTTGTTAGAGGAAAAAGAAACTGTATGCAACTCAGATGGGCTTGAGTTGAGCGGCAGCGTGGGTTAGGGTCTAGCTAGAGAGGTCACAGGCTTAATTTGTAGTGCAATGGAAAAAATGAAAGAAGTCTTAGTGCTGCTTCTCTTCTACCTGTCAGCAATATTGAACTGCATTTTATATGCACTTTGTAAGGTAGAGAAATTATTAAACTGAAGTTGGCTTGAATGACTGTCTGGGTCAGGGTTCGGCTAGAGAAATCAAAGGTTTAATTCCTAGTGTATTGAACAACTGCATTTAAACATTTTGAAATGAAGTACCACTTTTCTGCCACCCTGTCAACATTATGTTTTTTTCGCTTTCGTTTACCATATTATTTTCACTCTGTTTTCTGTCTGTCAAAGATTTGAACTAAAAATTGTGAATACCAAAAAAGTTTACCTCATTCTCACGTTTCTGTACAACTTTGTAAAAAAGTCAAGTTATCCTCCCTATAGAAATATTTATTATGTTCACCGACTCTAGTAAATATTTTCTTTTGTCAAAAAAGAATAACCTTAAAATGTGGCATCATTTTAATATCCAGTGTTGTGTTTATTTCACCTGTTCCAGAAACTTCAGAGGAGCCAATTATTGCTGTCTTATAAGGACATGGTATGCTCTAGCCTACATCCTTATTTTATTTCAACTTGATACATTTGTACTTGCAAATAAATGTTATAACCATACAAAATTTGGCGTGTGTAATCATTTAAGCTGCTCATTTATCAGAAAAATCACAAGTATTACAGATGCCATATAATTATATTTCCAATGATTTCCACATTTTTGTTCAAGGAATGTGGAAAAACAGACACGTATAATATATAATGATATACAAAGCTGAGTACCCCTTTAACACTATTTTATGAAAAATGGAAGTTTGCAATTCAATAATCATTTTCTGGAGTGGATATATTTGTGTATTTTCACTGTGACTTTAGGTGGGCGTTGTAAGTAAAATGATCAATGTTAGCAGATCAATGAAATGTTTTTTCAGAAGATCAAACAATAGTTCACTGTTACAATTTTCCCATTACTATAAAGACCAGAGTGACTCTGGAGATAGTGGAGATGGTGGTGGAATTCCGGTGTTTGCATTCTTATCAATCTCTTCGCATGGTATGATTACACTCACAATTTAACAATTCTGCATCAATTATTTATGGATAATAGGTATATGTTCTTGTAACTGAAAACCACTGTTAAAGTTTTTATACGTTTTCAAATTTTCTGTTTTATTTATGAATATATCTTCATTAAATGATGAATGGTTAGATCTAGCTTGGAATAGATGTATTATATATATCGTATAAACTTTTAATCCATCTAATTTTTTTTTTCTTTTCATTTTGAATATTATGCAAGAACCACAAATTGAATATATGGAGAAGATTCAGTGTACAACACCGGGTAGGGTAGGGTCAACTACATTGATCAAACAATGTTATAATGTCCTCTCAAGAGTCTTGTTAATGATAGACCGTTTCCAAATCCTTCTTAATGCTTCAATGCTTAGTTTTTCTCTGAGTAAATAAAGAGATTACTCAAAAATTTCTCCTGAGTTAGAATTTGCATGCCTTCTGCTAAACTGACGTTCCTTATTAACTTAAATAGAAGTCACATGCTTCCAAAACTCGTCTCCACAGTGCTAACTTTCAATTTATGTATTCTTTCGACTTCATAAATCATAATAAAGACTATAATGTGAAATAAACATTGAGACTGTGTTTCACTTCCTCTTCCTCTCATTAAGTTGGGCAGAAAAATGTAATGTAATCTAAGTTGGACTACATGCTTGTTTTGTCTTTCTGATAGAATTACCGATTACTAAATGCACCATGCATGGTTAAACAATCATTGAGGTTTTGGCTAGCCCGGATGAAGTAGAATGTGAAACTATTATGAGAAAAGCATAAATGAAAGCTAGAAAACCCTTGAAATCGTGATTAGAAGTTCCATCATATGAGTTATCTTAGAAAGAAATATTGAATGATAACAAAGTTTCTTTGTCTTCCTTAAATTTGTTTCCATATGACAGAAAAACATAGGGAACAAGAGTTTCCTGACATATTATTTTCACATAAGTTATCTTAAAAATTTACTACTTTTGAAATCTCAGAGAAATTGGTGGAGGAGCTGGTTCAGATGTTCAGATTGGAACTGTGTTTGAAGGTGAATTGCAAATTCTGCAAGGATTTAATTGAAGGCATTGTCAGTGTAAAATTTTGTTACACTGTCAATCAATCATAATAATTGGATCATTATTCATTACAAATGATGATTTGTGATTGTTTGACTGTAAAAAAATTTACACGGATGGTGCATCAAAACTAATCTCTTTTTTCAATTGTTCTTCATTTTCATTTTACACTGGTTCCTGACTTTTTTTTAAAATTATTATTGGTGAACATATTTCACATGGGAAGCGCCTACTTGTTCTTGAATTTATGTTCATTGGTGATGATGCTTCACAAGTAAACCAGCTGCATTGGTCATCTCAGATTTATGCTGATGAATTCAAAGATTTGAGTGACTGCAATCTGTTTTGTGAGGTGACCCGTGTACCAGTTCCGCCAAGATTGAGGGAGGGGAAATCTGACATGGGTTCTATAAGATTCGACAACCAACCTAACCCAGAGGTTTTACAGGTTTTTTTTCACACCCTATGTATATGCCTTGCTTATTTAGTAAAGTATTGAAATTTGATATGAAGCTGTTTGATGTTCCGAAGCTAAATATACTTTTCATCTCCCAAATCATAACTTAATTGCCCCACCATTCGAAGTGTGGAGGAACCTTCTCAGGCACCTGCAAATTGCATGGACGGAACATTTTTAGTGTTAAAATAGGGAATTATCATATGCTATTTTCTATAGTAGTTTTTTGTAAACATTTGGAAATGGGTTACTTTGGGGATTGTCAGTAACTCCTTACTTTCAAACCCTTCGGCAAATTACTCTGGCTAATTTGACATTGCATTTTTTTAACAAAAACTCGCATTTATTTGTGTTTTTCGTGCTGTTCTTCACCTTTTTTTTTAAAAACTCGGTATCCGGTCTATGGACCGACTAATCCAGAAAAGCAATTCTACCGTCCACTAGTGGGGTACCAACATAAAATTTATTACCACCTGGGAGATTTGAACTCATACCTTGAGAAGAGCATACTCATAGATTCCAAACCTTTCACCACCTGATCAATCCCTATTGGTTTGTGTTGATCTTCACTTAAAATGCATTTTGTGTTGATCTTCACTTAAAATGCATTTGAGAAAGTTATGATTTGAGGAAACCATGGGTAGATATTGTTAAGTATTAACAAGTTTGAGTAGTGTGGATAATAGTCTCACATTGGATAGAAATGTGGTGACTTGAGCATTTATAAGTGAGAGAACCCATACACCTATCACGTTAAGGTTTTGGGTGAGTATGTGGTGTGTCTCTCACAAAGGTGAGCACAAAGTCTATAGACTAAAGAAGGCTTTGTATGGATTAAAACAAGCACCACGCGCTTGGTACACTAGAATTGAAGCTTACTTCCTGAAGGAAGGGTTTGAGAAATGTCCTTTTGAACACACACTTTTTGTGAAAAGTGGGGAAGGAAGAAAATTGTTGATCGTGTGCTTGTATGTGGATGATTTGATATATACAGGGAACGATTTCAGCATGTTTGAAAGGTTCAAGCAATCTATGATGTTGGAATTTGATATGTCTGATTTAGGGAAGATGCATTATTTTCTCGACATAGAAGTAGTGCAATCAAAAGCTGGCATTTTTATCTCACAAAAGAAGTATGTGCAAGAGATTCTGAACAGATTTCAGATGTCAAATTGCAATTGTGCTGCTACACCTACTGAAGTAGGCTTGAAACTTGTTCGAAATTCAGATGAAAAGAAGGTTGACAGCCACCTTTACAAGCAAATCGTGGGGAGTCTGATGTATTTAACAGGAACGAGGCCTGGTATCATGCATGCTGTAAGTTTGATCAGCAGGTATATGGAAAATCCTAAGGAGAGTCATCTCTTGGCTGCAAAGAGAATTCTCAGGTACTTGCGAGGTACTACTAGTTTTGGAATTTTCTACAAGAAGGGAGAAAATTCAGATTTGATTGGCTATACAGATAGTGATTATGCTGGAGATATTGATGATAGAAAGAGTACTTCCGGCCATGTCTTTATGCTGGGTTCTGGAGCCATCTCATGGTCATTAAAGAAACAAGAGATAGTCACCCTATCCACTACCGAAGCAGAATATGTTGCTGCAACAGCATGTGCTTGTCAAGCAATTTGGCTTAGGAGGATTCTTGAAGGGAAATTGCTTAGGAGGATTCTTGAAGGGCTGAATTTTGTGCAGGAAAGGGAAGTTAATGCTACTACAATTTATTGCGACAACAATTCAGCTATCAAACTGTCCAATAATCCTGTTTTACATGGAAGAAGCAAACACATAGATGTGAAATTTCATTTTATCCGGAATCACTTCATTTTATCCGGAATCTCACAAAGGATGAAGTGATTGAACTTCACTACTGCAGAAGTGAAGACCAAATTGCCGATATAATGACCAAGCCATTGAAGTTGGCTGCATTTCAGAAGCTCAGAGCATTGTTAGGCGTATGTGATAAACTGAATGTTTGAAAACTTTCAGTTTAGGGGAGAATATTAGAAAAATTAATTTATTATATTATTTATGTTGGTAACTGATTTGTTTTGAGTTTGTCCTAGCCTTTAGGGATATTTGATTGAGTGAGTAGTGGGTGCTGAATTTTAGGAATATATTGTTAGTGGCTTACAGCTTTATTAAGCAGTTTGTAATTCTTGTTATGTTAACGTATCAATCAATAAAACAACAGTTTTCGGTGCCTCTGTACTCTAAGTCAACAGTGGTATCATGAGTCTTTGGTTCGAATAAAGGGAACGACTTACTTGTATCGAAAGTATCCCCATAGGTCGTGGGTTGAGTGTCTCGTTGAAGAATGTCAACGGCGGTACAAGGGTGCAGTTGCACAGTTAAAGTTTCCGCTTAAGAAGTGTTAAGTATTAACAAGTGTGAGTAGGGTGGATAATAGTCCCACATTGGATAGAAATGTGGTGACTTGAGCATTTATAAGTGAGAGAACCCATACACCTATCACCTTAAGGTTTTGAGTGAGTATGTGGTGTGTCTCTCACAAAGGTTGCTCTTGAAAAAGTCCCACTATGTTCACTGCTCCTTAGTTTAGTTGAAAGTCCAAGAGATATGAATATTTTAAGTGAAGAACAATACAAATGCACATAAATTTAGTCTTTTTTTTCTTTTTCTAGTATACGTGTAGTTTATAATTTCCTCTGTTATGAGATTATCTGATTGTAAATACACTTCATATCATAGGTTTATTTAACATTGTGGCTTGCAGGGATGAACATAAACAATTCCAGGTAAAATTTCAATGATATTACTCTATATATGGTCTAAAATGCATCTCGTTTCTCGCGCGTTCCTTACCTCTCTTATTTCACAGGGTGAATGAAATATTTGAAGTTGTTGGGGAAGAAATGCACGTTAGCATAGGTTAAATGTTTTGTCGTCGTGAGTACAATCTGATGAGCATGTTATCAGAGTTAGATTAAGTGGTTACACCTTCACGGGCTCTTTTCAAACATTGTCAAGCTTAGAAAGAGGTAAAAGGAATGGCAAGAGATGGAGACTTGCAGTAAAAAGATTACGAAGTCATGGAGATAGGTAGGTTTAGTGTGATAACAGTAACAAAATAACGATGAGGTTTTTCCTATGTGAGTAAATTTTGTTTGAAGGTAAACTTGGCACGATGGGTGTCAGCATAGATACAAAACTGATTTCTTATATGATGTATTTGTTATGGACCTTGAGGAAAAATTAGAATTTTATTATTCATGAAAAATCAGACTATACCTGTCTGATTTGTAACTAGTTCCAATGAGACCGACTACTTCCATTGTCAATTCAGAATTGGTAAATTTTAATCCATTGAATAACGTTTGGGTTTGCATTTTGAGAATTTATTTTCTCATCCTTATGCTGTGGCTTACACTTTTGAAAATTCAAATTGCTTTCTGGTATTTCAGATATATATCTCTGGACGTAACTTTATCTCATTTTTTCTAAAAATTGATTCGGAGATGCATCTGCGAAATTTTTTGGGATATATTCGGTGATGCATATTTGAAAAATCTACTTAGTGCATTTTAAAGCTATTCAAACAACATTATTTTGGATATGCGTATTCGAAATCTTAACTGCATGCATCTTGGACAGAAACATTGTCTTAAGTTTGTGTTTTTAAATCAAAAGTAATTTTAATCTAACTAATAGTGCCATGATTTAATTCAAACATCAATAAATATGGACATCCATAGAACAAAGTGATGTATTAATTAAAAAAATATTCCATAATATTATCGACATTATTCTCAAAGTATTGCGCCTCCTGTGCCACTGGTAACCCATGACATTCCGTGACTCAGTAAAAATGGTACGCGCGAGGGCAACCACATCATCACCACCTCTCTCGAATAGCGTAGACTCTATGCCCTCATACGTCATTTGCATAGCTCATTCTTCAGGATCTCATGAGCAAGTTTAGGTGGACGTCCATGAGTGTCTGATACCATGGTTTATGAGCATTTGGTGTCATGACACGATGTGACACACTATAGAACTAAGTAATGTAATCTTCCACATAAGACCACTGAGATGTGGCTGACATACTCTGATACTCCTCTAGTACTTGATGACTCTCGTAATCTGCCAGTATGTCATCAAAATGTTCGCGGACGATGTTGTTAAGAACAGATTCGAAGGGTGATATCGGAATGATATGCACATATACAAACTGACGCATGCATCACTTCGATAGATACTTAGACATCATATTCCTTCCACATGCCAACCATCCGGAGTAAAATGAAATGGAATTGAAGGCAATTGTGTCTCAATGAATGGTGTATGGTGTCCACTCGATGTCATCATGTTGAGTCCGATTAAAAATTTGTACCTTAAGGGACAAATATCGAACACAGTGCCCTAGACAACATGTTTGACAAGATAAATTAGAACCTTGATGGATTAAGAGTACAAGATGATGAAGCAGAAAAGCAATAAAGAACACACTAATTGGAAACCTAGTTTGATGCAATAACACCTACGCTTGGAGGGTTGGCTTCCAACCCAAGAAAGAAAATTCACTATTAGTAGCTTAGTACAATTAATCTTACAAGAAACAACAAATCTTATGTTGTTCAATTCATTTTCCTAACACTACCTGTAACACCCCACTTCCCAGAATTAAAATAAAATACGAATATTTCAAGTAAACATTAGAGTTTCTCCTCAAAAGCGGGATATCACATCAAATAATTCAACATAACCAGTCATTAGATGATTTTCAAAATAAAATAGCGGAAGTAATCTTTAATTCAACATTCTCGGCCATCCGCCAAATTACATAAAATCATTCATTAACAAGGTTCACCAAAGTATGATACGTCACAGGAATAAAACAAATTCAGCATAATAAAATTAAACACCCAAGTCCCGTGCTACGTATCAGAGCATCCTAAGACTCGACCTGCACACCACTATCAAAGCTAGCTATGTACCTGGATTATCTGTACTTCCGAAGAAGCACAGATCACCACAACAACGAAGGGGTGAGAAAACGTGATCAAAATTATCGGTAATAAGATACATGATCAAAAGGTAGTAATTACATAAAATATCACCCAACATGCATCAACCACGACCTACTGTCCAAACATCAAACACAACATGCAATAATGCAAATATGCAACTCAATACCATGCATGTGGTACTGACTTATTGGTTCATTCAATCGAACCCCGGATAGATCACATATACCCCTCCTTGGCAATGATCTATTCCCACCATTCTCCACAAGGGAGTACGGATGAATCACATACGCTCCTCCTGAGCAATGATTCATCCCACCAAAACACCATAATATGCACAATACCAAATGCACAACAAATAAACTCAAGCACACTAAGTGCACACGATCCTCCTGATTACATCACCATCCATTCTCAAATAATTCATCACACAAGAATTATAACCTGATTGCGCACACAACACATTCATAATCACCAAAGTATTCATACTTTCACACATCATCATTAAATTTATCAACTGATGCACAAGAATACACATCATGGTGCTTCACATACAATTGCATACAATCAATATGCATTCACAATATCGCGCTAAATGGCAACAAACTCCATCACAATCATCAGACACCTTTAATCAATTAAACAATGCATATATTTACCAAAGGCCAAATTTCACAATCTAGGATTCACGCCATACGGCTACCCACAACATATCATAATACAACACACAAGCTATGCGTTGAAGAATCAAAGTAGCAACATTGGATGGAAACAACAAAAATAAAACAATGTTGTCATGCTCGCTGGCTCACTTGCCTAGCGAAGGCATAGCGATCATTCGCTACTGGCTCGCCTAGCGAACGTGCTAGCGAAGCCTGCATTTTTGCTACTAGAAGTGTTCGCTACCAAACTCGCTTAGCGAACACTCGCTACCTCACTCGCTCCAGCGAACAAGGGTCATTTTAGTTCTGTCCAAGTCTGGGACCATTCGCTACTCGCTCGCTAGCAGCTCGCTTAGCGAACCACTCACTAGCTCGCTCGCTAGCTGCTCGCCTAGCGAGGCCTGCGATACTTCAAAACCCCAACTGTCCAAAAATCATCAGAAGCTCACAGATCACCCGATTTTCACCAAACTAGTTCCTCTAGTCTTAGCCTAACATTCTTCGACTAAATTACACCATCTATTTCAGACTCTCACTGTTAAAACATCGATTTCTATCGATTAAATCATTTTCGACCTAAAATGGAAAACTACACAAAAACGCCCAAACAATCCAAAACAATCCCTACATAATCACATACATGGATAGGATAACCATATTTCACACCCTTACCTCGATTAATTGATCAGATTGACGAAAATTCCTGAAGAATTGGCAGCCCTAGCCTTGCCTCTCTTCCTCCTTAATCTTTCACTCCACTGGTTTATCGTGCAATTTCCTCCTTTCTACCCCAACACCCTTCTAATTCTCTCAATCCTTATCTTCTTTACTTAATCTAATAATAATAATAACAATAGAATAACAATATTACTATTAATTATTAAATTATTATCATTATTAATTATATTATATTAATATGAAACTCTATAGTTTATTAAATAATCTCTATAATTAAGGGCACTCACCAGTGCACTCAGACACACTCTCACCTAAAGACACACCAAAATAAAATAACACCAAAAAGACTAAATAATTAAAATGGGTGGTACAACTCTCCCCCACTTTAATTATTTTTGTCCTAAAAAATTTCTTGATGGAAACAATTTCGGATACGCTTCCCGCATCCTACTTTCCAATTCCCAGTTCACACTGCCTCCTGCAGCACCTCCCCAAGCCACTTTCACCATAGGTATCTCCTTCCCTCAGAGTCGTTTTATTTTACGATCTTCGCCCTCAATGGCATCGTCTCAACAGTAAGATTCTCCCGGACTTGAACTTCATCTCTCTGAATCACATGAGATGGGTCCGAGACATACTTGCGAAGTTGCTACACATGAAACACGTCATGCAAATTCGAAAGTTCAGGCGGTAACGCCACTCTATAAGCTACAACACCAATTCTCTGCAAAATCTGGTATGATCCAATAAACTTAGGATCCAGCTTCTTGGACTTCAACGCACGACCCACACCAGTCACTAGGTTAACTCTTAGGAACACATGATCACCTTCACTGAATTCCCGTTCTTTTCTCTGGTTATCATGATAACTTTTCTGCCTACTCTGAGACGCTTTCATCTTCTCACGAATCATATGAGTTGTCTCAGTAGTTTGCTGCACAATGTCTGGTCCCAATACCACATTCTCACTTGTCTCATACCAACACAGAGGAGTTCTGCACCTTCTACCATATAAAGCCTCAAACGGTGCCATTCCGATACTTGTTGTACGTGAGCTTGATCAACGGTAAATGAGTATCCCACACACCACCCTTTTCCAACACACAAGCTCTCAGCAAATCCTCCAGCGACTGAATAGTCCTCTCTGACTGACCATCGGTTTGCGGATGGTAAGCTGAACTCAACTTCAACTTAGTACCCAAAGCTTCCTGTAAACTCCTCCAAAATTCTGAAGTAAACCTCTAATCTCTATCCGACACGATACTCGACGGAACACCATGTAGCTTCACAATTACTCGAATATAAATCTCTGCTAGCTTCACCAACGGAAAACTGATATTAATCGGCACAAAATGTGCAGACTTCGTAAGTCGATCCACAATTACCCAAATAACATCAAATCCTCTCGCTGTGTTCAGCAAACCCTTAACAAAATCCATGGTTATACAATCCCATTTCCAAACCGGAACATCCAACGGTTGCATAAATCCAAAGGGTCTCTGATGTTCCACCTTTGATTTCTGACATGTCAAACATGCGTAAACAAATCGAGCTATATCTATATTCATA